TGAACCCCAAACGTGATTTAGCCTCCAGCGTTGCGCATGCACTTTTCATGGACCAAACTCATGATAATCCATCGCCAGTGGAAAAGCGTTCGGTTTACGATTTATTGCCGTCAGCAGCTTTAGTGTCGATGGCTTGCTGTGCCACAGGCAGCAATCGCGGCTATGACGAACTCGTGCCGCATCACGTAAGTTAAAACATTGAGTCAACCGCTAACCTCGTATATTTTATACTAACGAAAATTATCAAACAGATCCATGTCGTAGACGAGGAGCGTCAGTACCAGGAATGGGGCAAAGGCGTAGACGGCAATTCCGGTATTATTGCTGCTAAACGTGCACTCAATTTGCTGCATGGTCAACTCGCTGAAGAAGGCTTCAATCAAGTGTATGTTGATCAAATGGATACAAATATAGTCGCGGTCACACGTCATTCACCAACTACCCATGAAAGTGTCATACTCGTCGCACACACTGCCTTCGGTTATCCACATCCGAATGCTGGACCAACCGGCGTACGTTCGCTACGTTTCGAGGGCACATTGAACGAGATTATACTTGAAGCAGATATTTCAATGAAAAGTGATAAGCCGTTTGATCGACCGGGTCCATTCAAGAAGGACCCGAATTACATCAACGGGTTTTCACAATTCAAACTCAATTTGCGCGAACATATACCTTTGGATAAGTCGAAAATTTTCCGCGCCACTGCACATGTTGATGGTAATGTAACACAACTGGATTTCGAAAATCTTTATCCAGGCTCGGTGGTAGCTATCAGGTAACTTTTATCAACTTTTTCTTGAAATGAGCTCTACCAGAGTTTACATCATTACAGAGTTTCTCTGCACAACCCAACGAAACCTCATGCTGAATACCTTCAAAGACTAGTGACGTCTTTGCAATCCGAAAGCGGTGTGATGTACAAGGAGTTGTGTGAAATCATCGCCAAATTGGACCTGGTTGACTTGAATCGCGCGCTATTTACCTGCGAAGAGGAGGAACGTGATCACGGCTATGGTGGTGCCACCTATGATATACCGAACTATGGCCGCACAGTTTACTGTGGTCTGCAGGGTTTCATCTCCATATTAACGGAGATATCGCCACGCAATGATTTGGGTCATCCGCTTTGCAACAATTTGCGAGATGGCAATTGGATGATTGGTTTGTAGTAAATGAGTTATTATCATAATCGAAAATATTTTTAATGATATCTTTATGCTCGCAACAGATTATGTGGCTGATCGTCTAAGTCAGCGTGAAGGCACGAAGATATTGTCGAAGTGGCTAAAAACCTCTTTCGAACCGCTGAAGAATATACCAAGATACCTCATTCCTTGCTACTTTGACGCCATTTTGAGTGGTGTGTACGAAGCTCTCGTTGGACACACCTACCAACTGATGCCAGAGTGAGTTGATATTTACGTCATATGCTTTTCAAGTTCTCAGTTTTTAAAACTTTATCCGCAGATTTATACGAGACGGTCATAACTTCCCGCAAACGCTTGCTTTGGCCACACTCCAGTTCCTATCGGCTTGCAGATCTGCTAACTTGCCACCGCTCAGTCCGGCTGTAGTACCACAACCGCCCGAGATATGTGTAACGCTGTCAGCAGGTAAGCTTGCTTCATAATCAATTAAACGATTGGTCAAAGTACTCCTGTACTTTTCACAGGATTGCCACACTTCTCCACCGGTTACATGCGCTGCTGGGGTCGTGACACTTTCATTGCATTGCGCGGCATCATGTACCTGACCGGTCGCTATCAGGAGGCACGCTATATTATACTCGGTTTCGGTGAATGTCTTCGACATGGACTCATACCAAACTTGTTAGACAATGGCACGAAGCCACGCTTCAACTGCCGAGATGCCGTCTGGTGGTGGTTGAACTCCATTAAACAATATGTTGGCGAAGCACCGCGTGGCGTGGAGATCCTCAAAGATCTAGTTTCGCGTATTTTCCCCTACGATGACAGTGAGCCACACCCACGTGGTAAATTCGATCAAAAGTTGATCGATGTAATGCAAGAGGCGCTGCAGATACATTTCCAAGGATTACAATATCGCGAACGCAATGCCGGCTATGAAATTGACGCCCACATGACCGATCAGGGTTTCAACAACAATATCGGCGTACATCCAGAGACGGGTTTCGTCTTCGGCGGCAATATTGCTAATTGCGGCACTTGGATGGATAAGATGGGTTCATCTGAGAAGGCGGGCAACCGCGGTCGTCCCGCTACACCACGCGATGGCTCCGCTGTGGAGTTGGTTGGACTGCAAATGTCGGTGTTGCGTTTTATGCAATCACTGAGCGAGAAGGGTATTATTGAATATAAATCTGTGGAACGCAAGGGACCGAATGGTAAAACCAACAAACAAAATGTTTGAAAACATAAATTTAAATTTGGGTTAAATCACAGGTGAAACGACCAAATGGACCTACAAGCAATGGGCTGATCGCATTCAAAACAATTTCGAGAAATGCTTCTTTGTCGATGAATCGGAGAAGGGCTTGCAAGCAAACAAGAAGAATATCTACAAGGATTCGTATGGTGCTTCGCAAGGTTGGACTGATTTCCAATTGCGTTGCAACTTCCCAATAACAATGGTTGTTGCGCCGGAGCTTTTCAATCCACAAAAAGCCTGGTCTGCTTTAGAGCAAGCGCGCAAACATCTGCTCGGTCCACTGGGCATGAAGACACTCGATCCAGATGATTGGAATTATCGTCCTAATTACGATAACTCAAATGACGCCGATGACTGCACGGTGGCGCATGGTTTTAACTATCATCAGGGACCCGAATGGCTGTGGCCTATTGGATTCTATTTACGCGCTCGTCTCATATTCGCTAAGAAGTGCGGTTATCTGGATGCGACTATCGCAGAAACATGGTGAGTTTTTATGAAAGACAATTGTAACCTTATCGAATATCAAAAAATGTTTAGAAAAAAATTTTAATTAGGCCTTCCATCGAAACCACAGTTCACATTGACGTCCAAAAACTCTTAATAGGTTTCTTAATACGTAGAGAGTTTACCACTACAGTTAGGTCTACGAAATCAAAATAACTGAATTTCATAACACAATAAAGGTTGTTATACTTCCGGGCGCGACAGGATAAGTATAAAGAATGCGAAGGATAGCTTAAAATGTGAAATTTGTCCATCACATAACATAACAATATGAAATACTTGGGAGTATATGGAAAGTTAGAAAGTGGAGAGAAAGTTTCGACAAGCCTGCAACTGGATGTCATCGCGGGAACTGTGGTACTGTAGAACTATTTTTTTTTATACTTCTTCAAGATTATAAAAGTGCTTAGTGACATATTCATTGCTTAAGTAGGAGCAATCAGCTCCTGATAAGCATCAACTACTGACACATTACGTCGGGGTGACATGAAGATCTCTTTACTAAGGTCCAAATTAAGTTTTTGAAAGAGCTATCGTTTAAAAATCCTTTGAATCTTAGAGATCATAGCCGAAACCGCAATTTAAGCTGATTAACGAATTGTTTAATTCTGCTATATAAAGATATTAAGACTGATGAATCTCATATGGTTGCTTAAAATTTAACGGAATTTGTAATAAAAAATAATTTATTAGGCAACAATTTATTGCAGTTTTGCAGAAGTATAATAATCCACCAATAGTTTGAAGCAGGGATAAGTTTGAAGCAACGTTTTGAATATGTCAATGCTTGGTTGGGTATAAATTAATGCCCTATTATTCACTAAAGTCGTAGATGTTATTGTTGTTATTGTAACAACAGGCAACATTCTCAAAATAATTAATAATAATAATTTAATGCTGCAGAGTGTACATTTCTTCGCCGGACATAAAATCAGGTACATTCCGGTTAGCTAAATCAGACTGTCGTAGGAACAGATCATATATGATCTTATTAATTGATTGAAACATTCAACTCTACTGGAAATTATAATGGAAAAAAGTTAATTTTTTGCAATTCGACTAGTTCGTATTAAACGAATAGTAGGTAATGAGAGCTCACTCAAAAATAGTTAAATATTCGTCCCTAGTAAAGGCAAAGAGAGTAAAGATTGTTTGGATGAATTTTGTAAAGCCAGGAAAGTAAATCGAAGTTACACGGATGTATCTAGAAAATACATAAATAATATAACGGTTTTTTTACAAACTCTGAGTAAAATTTATATAACTTTCATTAGAATTTAATATTTCTACTCACACTAAGCTTTGGGGTTAAACAACAAAAAAAAATATATATGTAAATACATATATATTAATATATCATATATAATTTAGAATAAATATTTTTATATACTCCCCTCAAGGTCAATTTTGCGCGCTCACTTCAAAGAGCTACACACCTCCCACTGGCGTGGACTGCCCGAACTGACCAACGATAACGGTGCCTATTGTCATGATTCCTGTCGTACGCAGGCGTGGAGTGTGGCCACTATATTAGAGGTAAAATTGTGATGGTTTTTAAATAATTTATTTGAAATATGCAATTTTTCGAACATTTTTTTATAGGTTCTGCATGATTTGCACGCTATTGGTGGTGATGTCTGAAATGCGCAAACTTTTGCCTAAAAGACCTTAAACTTCTAGACAGCGAATGAAAGAGCAAAAAAAAAAAGAAGAATCCGAGAAAGTACATACATTTGACTTAGATACATAAACAAAATACTTAAAAACGATCCTTAAGATCGCCTTAATTGTTGTTTACTTCGTGCGTTCATTAGATTATTGTTGTTGGAATACATTTTATACACAACCAGATGCTATAGAAGTGTACCAATATGCTGTTGACTATTTAAAAACATACATACATACATACATACATATACAAACAATACTTTTTGTATTTCTTAAGAAGCTTAGATGATGCTAGTATTGTGAGCTCACTAACTCAACGAACTAATCGCTAGTAATTGACTGCATATCTAATGCACATAGAAAATAAAAAGAAATTACTAACAACACACACATATAAATATATTTCGAAAATCTTGTTAGTTTAAAAAATGTTTGTGTTTTATTTTTCAATGAAATTCAAAGCGTTTACAGTTTCACACAAACTACGCGCTCTTACTCGCTATACGCTTATCACGCACTCAACTCCACACACCAACAGCACTCCACTCCACTCGTCATTCATACAGCACTTACGAGAAGTAACTGTTACGAAACATGCGCATATCAGAGTTCTTCGGTGGATTGATGCGTAACTTCGGCGACTCCTCATTAATGGGTTCCAACTCAAATTTCGAACCACGTGCTTTGTATTGCAATTTGTCTTGCGGATGCTCACAGACGCGACTCTGATACTCCTCCATCGGTTGGGGGTCATAGTAGAACTCGGTATGACGTCGACGTGGATAGAGTTCCATTTGTGTGGTTGGACCAAAAGTGTTCTGCGAAAATATGAAACGTTTAGTGTGATGAAACGCTTTTTGATAGAGAATTCACTTACCGAATAGACAGAATTTAGTGAGAGGAGCGAACCTTGCAGACTTGGCAATGAGTCGTTACTAAATAACTGTAGAAAAATTAAGGTAATTTGTCGCGCTTTGTTTTGTTGTAAAGAAAGCGTCAACTTTAAAGCAAGTCAGCGCTTATGAGTGTTACTTACTTTGGAGGGAAACATTTTTTGACACAAATGTAGAAATTTGAAATGTGAAAAAATTCTTAACTAAAGTTAAATTTTGCGATTTTTCTTTTTCGAATTCAAATGTAGATGACATGTTTTCGAATTTATTTTTTATTTTTTGGCACCTTTGATTTGTTTATCTTTACTTTAAAATTTTTTAAAGCTTTGCAGTATTGGAAATGGATATGGTGTTGTAATATTGTACTCTTCTCGACTACTTCTAAATGTAAATCAAGTAGTAAGGAAGAAAACTTTTTGAGGTTGTTACAAATATCGCTTTCTTGTTGTAAAGGGTTTTATATAATTAAATTATAAAACAATCTATAAAACAACAATGACGAAAGCAATATGATGGTAGTAACGTGAGGGTAAAAAAAAAATTACTATCTATTTAAAAATCGAATGTTTACAACAAGGGTTTATCGCAAAAAAATTTAATGAATATAAAAATTGCAAATGTTTTAAAAATTGAAACTGAAATAAATCTACTTTTTCAGACTTTTATATCAATGAAATTTCGACCGATGTGTTTTGAATATATGTATATTAAATACAATATTTGAACTCTATCATAACGGTAATTTTCGAATATTTCTAAATAACGGTATCTCAGGCACCTAGATTATCAATTTTTCAAACAATTGGGCAGTATCAGAGAAAAAAGTACGACTGTCAAAACTTTTCATTTTAAGGTTAAGTACGAACTAAGTCCCTTCTTATTAATTAATATGGAATTTGTAAAGTCTTGTAGTCTCTCTTACTCTTACAAAATGTAATGGAAGGAGAAGTCCAAGAAGTAGTCATGTATGAACTTAGTCTAGCAATAAGAGGCACTTCGTATGAAATTATTTGTCCATGTTTGTTTTATAAATATTATTACAAAAAGGACGACGTGACTAAAGGAATTCGCTGCAATAAAAAAGGATAAGTTGACAGCTAAATAGGTTAGTGAGACCCACTATTAGAATCAAAAACAAAAATTTGAAAGTTCATTTTCTTTGTAATCGTATGAAGAGTGGAATGAGCTGTATGTGAAGTTTTAGCTATGAAACAGAGTTTTCAATCCAACCTAACCTTACATAGGGTCATTCACCGGTAAAACAAATAGCGCTTAACATAACTCAGGGTTTTTCCCGCACACCTCGTAACATACGTACATACATACAAACATATATACAGTTATATTTTTAAACGAATTTGCCGCGCACTTTATTTTAAACGGTAAATAATTAAAAAACAACAAGAACAACGCTAACTTTCGTTAAACAGCAGTTATAATACCCTTCACAAGGAACATTTAGCATTAAAGGATATAAAATATCTTTATCTTGATATTAGTTTGTATGGCAGCTATATGCTATAGTGGAGCCATCTGAAAAATATGTTCGGATATTGTACCGTTGCCGTGGACAATAATCCTTGCCAAGTTTCATGTAGATATATTATTAAATACAAAAGTTTTTCATACAAAAGCTTGATTTGTATCGGTCAGTTTGTATGAAAAATATATGCTATAGTGGTTCGATTCATTATGTTCAAAGAATATAGCTTTGACTTTGACAATATTACATCCCGAATTTATTGAAGATATCTCGTCAAATAAAAAAGCTTTCTATATAATAACTTAATTTTGACCGATCAATTTGTATGGCAGCTATATTCTATATTATATTATATTCTATAGTGCTCCAATATCTTAGGCTCCGGCAAATGAGCAGCCGCTCGAGGTGAAAAGGATGTACGCAAAATTTCAGATCGATATCTCAAAAATTAAGGAATTATTCGCGTATACACAGACGGGCATGGCTAAATCAACCCAGCTCGTCACCATAATTCATTAAATAGATAGATAAATTATAGCGTCTTCGACATTTACAAACTACATGGCAAACTTAATATATGTATTTGTATAGGGTGTAAAAAAAATCTGTCGTCAATTTAAATATTGTATATTAGCTAACATAAAGTTCAGATATATTCTAGAATTTGTAGATGTATAAATAAATTATACACCAGTTTAAATAAATAAATATTTATTTTATTAAGTCTTGTCAACATGCATAGACACACACACGCACAAAAAAGTATTCATATTATATACATTTAGGAATAGGTAGATAGGCTTGTCGACAGTTTATAAGTAACGACTTAGTATATGGTGGTCTACGTGAAACACGCAGCCATCGGTAGGAATGATACTGGCAGATAATGCTTTTGGTACGTACACATATACACACGGTTTTGTGTATGTGTTGAGTAAATGGGATATACAAAACAGCTTACATTTAATGCAAAAATCTCTAAGTAAATGCAATGAACCCTAAATACATTAAATAGAAAAATCGTCAAAGAGGTTAATTCTTGAGCTTTAAGCACAGCAAAACCCTCTTCATTTAAAGCTGCACCTCATTTTCCTCTCTTATGGAACGCAATTCGCGTCCAAAAGTTTGCGATTTCAAATTAATAGCATTGCTTATGCCACCCTGCGACAGCAATTGGTCCACTTTGGGTGCAGTTAAACAATTATTGCTTTGCATTTTCGTATCGATTTCCGCAAAGTTGGGCGTATTCGCCCTCTTACGCCTTATATGCTCGGCATTGGCCGCTATTATGTCGATGTCAGTGTCCGTTACGCCAAATGATGGAAATTCCTTCAACTTCTCGGACTTTAATTGCAGTATTTCGCGGCGTATCGCCTCCACATTCTCCTTCTCCTTGTCACTAGGTGTTTGAGCTAAACTCGCGGAAGGTTGCTCATTTACTTTTACTTGTGTTGCATTATCAGTCTTAAGGTTAATGGTGGCATTAGCATTGGCATTATCGGCGATGTGTTGTGTGGTATTCAAGGGATATTTGTCGCCCACTTCACGTATTTGTATATTATTTGACTTGTTGTTGGTGTTTATGGATGAAGCATTAAACAATACGGCCAAAGGTAGTGGCAAACGCGTTTCTAATTGACTGCCATTTTTCACTTTCTCAATAAGTTCGCCGGTTTTATAAGATAACGGTTCATAAACATGCTGCGGACTGTTCTTGCTCACATCTGCTTGCTGTTCCGAAAGTATACTCAGCAGCGATGGTCTTTCGTCCAGACGATTTGGTACGTTTGGAATTTTAGGTGCCTCCTCGTGGTATTTAGGCGCTACTACGCTTTCATGCGGCGCATTAGCAACCGCTTGCTGCGGCGACGAGTCACTGCGTTGTTTATGCGCCGGCACTGGCTCGGGTGCTGCCGCTGGTGCGTGTGCTTCGACTGGCGCATTATGCTGCACTTTTTTTTCGATTTGTTCCACCTTTTGCACTACCTTCTCCAACGTTTCTGCCACCATATTTTGCGTTTCCTCATTCTGTTTGGCCAGTTCATGCTTCAACTGATCCACAGTGCGTTCCAACAATTCTTTGGTCTTTTTCAGTTCTTTGCGCGTTTCTTTAAGCTCTACATCATTGCTGCTTTTGGTCAACTTTTGTCCATTCTTCAACTCTTCAGCGGCAATTTCCTCATCCTTCTGGATAGCATCCTTATCTATGGTTTGCGGTTGCTGATTTTCTGGCACATTTTGCTCTGCCTGCTTCGGTAGTGTTTCAATATTTGGTTGTTGTGGCGCTAACGCTTCATGTGGTAGTGGATTTTGTTGTAGCGGCTTAAGTTCCGACGCCGCTTCTTCTCCAACTGGTTGCTTTATGCTTTCGTCTACTTCCGCAGCGTCATTTTTTGGCTTTATTGCCTCAACAATAAGTGGCGCCTCTGGTTTAAGTGGCATTACATTCAATATATTCTCTGGGTTTTCTGCTATCACATTTGCTTTCGGTAATTCTATGTTTTTATTAATAACAACTGCCGCTGGCTGCGATATTATTTGCACAGGTGTGGCACTCATCAAATAATCAGACTTTTTCTTTGCCTCTGACTCCAAAATATTATTTTTTAACTTCAAATCAACAAGTGTTTTTTCCATTCTCAGTTTATCTATTTGCGGTTGTGCTACCGCTGAGTCTAAGGGTATCACATTTATTTTCTCAGTTGGTCGCAATAAATTCGTATTTTCGAGTTCGTTAACTACATGTAAATGCGCACCAGAACGCTGTTCATCGATGGCATTCAAATTGGCAAATGTGCCCAAAATCATGAGAAAAAACCCGCTAATGAATATAAACTGCGCCAAAGAACGCTCTGTCGAGTCTTTCTTCACGATTTTTCGAAAACAAAATGCCGGAAACATGATACAAATCGCAACGCCAATAGTGGAGCCCACCAAACCGATTACTAGCTCAACGGACGGTATCATGAGCGCAATACAGAGTGCACAACCCACCAGACAGGTGGTTATGACCTTAAAACGAGTCTCTGGTATATAACCACTGTTATCAGTGTGACCCTAAAATTGTATAGACAAGTTAATAGGTATGTACGGTAAATTGTAAAATTATAGTAGAATAAACCTTGCGATAGAGTAGCGAGTAAATACTAGCACGGCAGGGGAATATGACTAGCGGAAAGCTAAATGCAACCGAAAGCACAAATCCAATTTTTATAACATCGCTGCCAAAGGAGGGTGAAAAGTTCATCAAAATATTGCCTAGAAAATATTTTCAATTAAATTTCAGGTGATTATAGGAAATGTTACGCCTTACCCGAAAAGGTTTGAGTACAAAAGGCGACATAACCAAAGAATCCGACGGCTATATACACAAAAGTGCAAATCCAAGTGGCGTTACGTACAATCCCATTCAACTTTTCCACGCTTTGGTTATTGATGCTCTCGAACACTTCAAAAAGTTGCCTAATAAAGGCAAGTGTTTTGGTTTTTTTTTTGTAATAATTTTCAATGTTAATTAGTGTTTTTATGTGTTTTGTAAAATGCTAATTTAGCTCGTTAACTAATGAAGCGTGTGAAATGAGGTTTTTAAGCGAGGAAACGGAAGGAATGAACTTTTGAAGCCCGCAAGTGTTTGATGAATTTTCACAAAAAAAAAATTAATGAATGGTTGGGTGGTTTGTACAGTAAAAGTATAGGTTTTTTGTTGATTTTTTGCAAAAAAAAACAAAAACATATTGTATTATGGTTTTTGGATGTTCAAAATAAAGACAATGACAGTAATGAAAATAAAAATAATCAGCATAAACTGTTGGTGATTTTTTGCAAAAAAAAAAAAATATAATGATTTTTGGACGTTCAAAATAAAGATAATGGCAGTAATGTAAATAATAATTAGTGCAATTTTTATGACGCGTGCAAAGTGCGAAAAATATAAAATATTAATTGAATACAATTTTCCACTTACATTTGACATGACAACGCCATACTGAAGATGGGTAAGCATTGTAAAATACCCGCAGGCCGCCAATACTCCACTTTCTCCACCCAATCATGCGTTACAATATGTGCCTCGGATTCTAGTACAATCTTCACAACCAAACAAACATAAAATCCAATCGATGCAGCACATACTGTTGAAAGGCTATCAACATTCTTCAACATAGCCAAGGGCAATATGCAGAAGACGGTTACAGCTATCATCACCCACGTGCGTAGGTGTGGAAAGTCAGCCGTGTTAAGTGAAAACATTTTTGTAACGATTTGCGGTCCTAAATCACCCATCACCACGAAATATGTGATGGACGTGCCGAAAAGATAACCGATAATACATAACTCCGCAAGTAATTTGCCTGAAGAACCGAACGCATGAAAGCCTGTAGCGGTGAAAATGAAAAAGAAGCTAAAGTTTAAAATTATTTGAATGTAATTTATATACAATAGCAAAGCAATAGGCTTTGCAATTTATTACTTTACCCAAAAACTCGAAACTTTTACGCCGTGTCAACAGTGAGGATTTTATTAGATAATGACAAGATATGCGAGTAATCCAATTGCTGATGATGAGCAACAGAACAGAGAGCACTATGCCGCACTAAAATTATGAAAATATATATTTTTTATATTTCGAAATATAAAAAATAACATGTATACATATGTATATATATAGGTATATAGTTGCATTTGCACCTAATAGTAGAGGTGCGAAAACAACAAAACGATTAACATGTTAAATAATAATACAGAAATAAATTAAATTTATAATTGTAAATTCGACAATGTACATATTTACTCAATATGAACTTAGTATCTATGCATGTACATAGAAAATATACTTTAGAAAACATAAATTATTCTGAATATTACATTTCCGGTTAAAGCACTGATAAACACATTTTTTCATTGGAGTCTCTAGGAAATGATAAGCTATATATATGTATACCGGTAGATATAAATATTTGCAAATACATATGTACATACATATACTATACATCTACATATATGCACATAAAAACAATTTTCGTGTCTGTATCACTTTTGTTTGTAACCTTAAAAAAAATATTGTGAATTATTATTACTTACAAATTACTAGGTTACTATTTTTTTTTGTTTTTTTTTTTTTGTAAACAACTAAAACAAAATATATACACTTTTTCAATTTGCTAGAGTTAATTAGAAATTTTACTCATTAGATATTATGAGGTTTTAAAATATTGACAACAAAGGGTGTCAAGTATTAATATTATATACATACATATGTATGTTTATATATACTGCAGCTAAGCAGGAATGAAATTTATAAAGTGGAATATTTTCAAATTTTGCATATAATTTTTTTAACTGTTTATTAGCACGCTAATACAATTCGTCTGATATTATGACAGCAATTTAAATAACCGCTTTACGTCCTATATGTTTGTTAAATTTTGCTTATTAAAAATTCGGTTTTCTTGTATGATTCATGAGCAAGTAATATCTACATAATTTATGATCTTCCATATATACATGAGAATAGAGAAACAATAGATTTGCTTACCTTTTGGAAACAAAACGGCATGGCCAGTATTCCCACGCCAATAATACTATTGGCCAGCGTCATAATGTGCCCCGAATAAGCCAACATGTTGAAATAATATTGTATCACACAAGAAATGCCGTTATCAGGTTATTTACTTGCAAGATTATTAGTTCAAGGGCTTCAGAAAGTAGCGCCAGCCGCATGCGTTTCTTTAACGGCAAAAAGTTCGTCACTTTGTTGTTTTAAAATATTGTGTGTGTGCGTTACGCGGTATACCTCAAATGTGTATTCAACTGCAAACCGTTAATGAAAACTTTCTCCAATTCAACAATAAATGCACTTGTTGGCACAATATCATGCACTTTAAGTAAACTTAACAAACTTTGCTCCCGCCGTCCGTCTATAAAATATACAAATAGGTACATAAATATATTGCGTATGTTTATATTATTAATGAAGGATTTTATTTAACAGTGAATATCAGGTTTGATATACCTTAAATGTATAAAATCTGAAAATGTAGATAAGATAATAAATTGTTTTCAAACATTGTACAATCGGACACCACGTATTTTTATTTTGCTTACACACACACACATGTTAATAATATAAACACTACATTAATTCACTCGTGTCACTCGATAAATTTTAAATTATTGACGCTGTGGCAAACGGTTTCGTACTGAAGCAATTGGCAATATACTTGTTGTTGATTGGCAAAGAAAAATGTTAATATTTTTGTTAAAACAAAACAGCGAAGAAAAATACAAACAATTGCCAGCTGGAGTATAGTAGCCAGATGAGTAAAAAATTATGAAAGCATTAACACTTCAAGACGTGTAACAAATTTGGGATATTGACACATATTTAGTATAAAGCATATTTATATTACATTTGTATTATTTTTGTAATGCATTTTTACAAACAAATTTTAAGAAAATTACATGCAAATAACTTTTACTTTTATTGAGGTATTTCTGCGCTTGCTACATTTTTTAAGTGGCAACACTCTTATTATGAATTGGCACCACTTAAGTTATTTTAAAAAGGTTGGCTGTGCTGCAAAAGCGCCAAAAGACAAATAATTGATTTTTAATTTAAAACCGCAAAACGCCTGATTTGGTAGTAAAAATAATTTTATTTGATGTGAAAATATATTGACACACATATGTAAGTTAAAATAAATTAAAGAGAAAATGTCGACCGAATATGAAGCGGCATTTGGAGGCACACGAGAAATGGCCGTCAACGCAATGCAGAGGGTTCAACAACAACTTCAAACACTAAAAGAGAATGGGAGTAAGGATTCCAATAGACGTGAAATGCAATTAGCATTGTCAATATTGCGTGCCATTTGTACTATTGCTGCGAAGTCGGAAGGCAAACACTATGATGTATACTGTGATACATTGGTGCATGTAGTAGGGAAGCATATTCAACCGTCAATAAGCGCTAAATATTGGACAATGTACCTGGAACATGTTCGATATTTACATCATTTGGTCGCAGATAAGGTGAAACAAGAGTCCAAATCTATTATAAAATCAAACTATTTAATGTAAAATTTTTACCAATAGAAAATCTTTACTGAGGCTAAAAGGATATGTGACCTTGTTGCAAGTTATACTAGTTATCTACAGAGTGAAGGCGATTATAAAGTTATATTAGGCATGTACTTGCAACACTTACTCTGCCAACACAATCACATACGCGTAAATGCCCAACTAGCCCAAGAGCATATAGTCCACATTATAGACTCACTTAAAGACTTATTCATGCGTATGTTGCAATGTAATAAAAGTGATAATTTTGCATATCCGGAATTAATAGCTGATTTTATACAATATCTGGTACCAAAGCGTGTTTCCACAGTTTTTAATTATCTCGCCACACTTCCTACAAATAAAACACAAATGTATGATGCATTCTTCACGTTACTTAAGGATGTACGTACAACGCAACCGTCGAAAGGAGAATTACAAGCACATTGTCAACGGCATTTAGAAGCACTTACTGTTTTCTTTCAATTAGATATGCCGGATAGATTGCAGCAACAACTGGCTTTGCGACATTTGCGTGCATGTCGTGAAATGTCAGTGTTTGCTACTGACAAAAGTTCCAATTACGTATTTTCACTACTATATTATCTGGTGAAATTAGTTTATGGTTTACCGAATCCTGGCGAATTTAAGGATATATATAAAGATCTAAGTCAAAAGCTAACAACTTTCTTTGAACGCTATGGAGAGATATTAATGCAAGAGCGTTGGTTTACAGATGTGCCGGTTATAATAGCGGTACTATTGACGCATTTACAGCAAAATCCCACCACACCATTCTCATTTTTTTGGCAACACATGACCAGTATTGAATGTTATATATCTCATTACGAATTAATATTAAGCTGTATACGTTTAGCGCCACGTATTACTGAAACAAAATTATTAAAATTTAATTGCTGCACCAGCGCTAGGAAACATACAATCATTTCTTTTGTTGTTAGTTCATTGGCTGCCTTTTCATCCTATGCCTTGGCTGTGGATGACTCAGCAGCGGAAAGTGAAGATCTTTTTGTCAGCTTACGTACGCAATTGTTAACGTTGATGCGCCATGGCGTCAGTGTGCTTGATTCTCTCGCCTGTATAACCCCTGATTCAGCAGAATTGAAATTTCTCTACGCATGCGTCGTACAACTGACGTTGGATATGCGCACACCAGCACAAAAACGCCTTTGCATAACATTAGCTGAGTTTCTCTTACGCATACGCCATAAATTCTCCATTAAAGATTGGACACTACTACTGCGTCGTCTATACAAAATGACATTGGAATCGAGTGAAACAAATTTAACATTAGATCTACATGTAGCACACATAGCTTCCATGCTGCAAGAAAGTGCATGGCCTGACATTACTACTTTGCGTACCCGCATTGGACACTTTCACACGGCCTCGCCACACGTGACGCCCGGACAATGCATCCTGCAAATAGCTATGGAAAGTCACAATCCGTTTAAGGTTTTTCTGGATACACCACAGAAGCACTTATTACATTGGTTAGAAACTCAGCAGTTTTTCAAGTACCATAAGAGTTGTGCACAACTTCAAATGACGCTAATGCGCTGCAGTCCTTCATTGTATGGTGAAGTATTGGTGGCGCGTGGTGCTGGTCCACTAGCGGTTGCAGTAGCTACACGCTTGCAACAACTCAAGAAAGATTTGGAGCAGAAGATAGAGAAAACAGCGGGATTGACACGTTTGGAACAACTCTGCTGGGCGCATATAAATACAGCGCTGCTTCATGATTCGTTAAAAGTGCGTAAGGACTTGTTGGCAGTGGAAATAAAATTCCAAGAGGACAACATAGAAGATTTGTGGCAGCGCAAAGAATTGTCAACGCTAACTGTAACACATGAAGTTAAATACGTAAAGCAAGCCGAAACGGCACTGCAAGCGTTCCGCGAATTCTATGAAAAGGTGCAAACATTTCTTGTTTATAAATTTATAAACCATAATCAACTACTGTACTTTGCAGGTTGACACCGAACCGATCCTCAGCAATGAGGTGTACATCGATTGGGAGTCCATCGTTGAAGACCTAACCTCACTTGCGTTGTACTTACAATTGGCGGGCTATTTGGATGTCGCTACGGAAGCTTGGATTCTACACTATCGCGCTACAAATTTAATTAACGATGAATACAATTCATTACGTAGCCTCGCCTATTTTTGTGAAAACAGCGAATACTTTCTAAATTCACAAAATAACATCGACTTGGCTGTAGAAGTGGCACACAAGCAAAATTTCTTATTAAACGCCTTACAAGAGTTGCCAACGCTTATTAAACGCCACCAAAACCATGTACTCATGTGCCTCTGCCAAATGGCACACTATTACGCACGAATTGGTCACCTCAACTATGCACAAGTCCTGCTGCAGTATGTTCATCAGGTGCACGCAGAGTTGCCCAATCAACAGGGCAAATATAATGTCGTGCTCGGCACTGTCGATATTGTCAAATTTCGTATTTTATGGAAGCATTTGGATAGTGTACCAGAACGGAGAGACACCCAGCTTTCACAACGTTGCTTGCTACGAGAAATGGAAGATACGTTGGAGCGCTTCCGTGGTGATTTCTTCAAACTCTCGAACAGTGAATTAATGTCATATACGATTTTACTATTGAGTCTCATAGAGCAAGTGGCCGAATGTGCCGCCAATCGTTTATGCGATCATTTTGTGAATTCATATTTCGCTGGCACCTTTAAGCTGCTCTTGCAATCCGGTTCAGCCTTGCGCATAATACAAATGCTAGCCATGTGGGCGTGGATAAATTTACAAATGGAATATGTGCAAAAGGCGCAGGTAAGCATAAAAAATAATTTTTTTTTTTTTTTTACTTTGAACAGAGCATATTAAGTTGGTGTATATTCCCGCGGTTTTTGAGAAATCAATCTGAAATTTTGCACACGTTCTTTTCTCCACAAGAAGCTACTCATTTGTAGGAGTCGCCAATATCTGAACACTATATGATATTGCTGCCATACAAACTGATTGATCAAAATCAAGTCCTTGTATGGAAAACTTTTTTATTTGACAAGATATCTTCACTAAATTTAGCACTGATTATTATCCAAACAAACGATACAAGCCTCAAATATATTGTTCAGATCGGACTACTATAGTTAAAAGCTGTCATACAGACTAATCGATCAAAACCAAGGTACAAACACCGTCGAATCGGACCACTATCACATACAGCTGCCATTCAAACTGGCCGATAAAAATAAAAAAAACATATTTTTCTCTTATTAAGTAACCTTAATTCGACTTGAAGATCCTTTATATCCAACAACGTGGCTAGAAAGATGTAGCAAAACCTCTTCCGTTGGAGGCAAACCGTTGGCGTTCAGATTTAGTTATGCTTATAGTACTTCGGTGCAGCCGAAGTCAACTGTGTTTTTTATCTTGTTTTAAATTAATTTTTTTTTATGCACAGATCAAAGTAAAATTGATTGAATACATATTGGGTGTGAAAAGTATCGAAGATTTGCGGCAACTAAGTGAAGCACGCGCCGTTGAGAAGAAACTGGCAGTCCCAACCACTTACAACACATTGGAGTTGCTGCATTCGGGAATGGAGCCGCTGCGCAAAATGATACCATTGCATGCATCGCCCTTAAAAATGGTATGAAGTAGAGTATTTTTTTATACAACTATTTCAAATTGAATTTTAGTTAACATTTCCTTTTAATTTTTTTCCGTAAATTAAGCTCAAGATGCAACTTAGTCCATCAATACAGCGAGAAAATGGTCTTACACGCTTTCTCCAAATAGCTTGCAACGATACATTACAACAATATGAAATTCTGCAATGGTGTTGCTTTATGGTTGGTTGCCTGAATGCCAGACTCTACTTTCTTGTCGATAATCATGACAAACTGGAGGATTTCTATGAAGCTAGTCAGCAATGGTTGGAAACGCATCAGCAAAACAATTTCCTACGTATCAATTTTCAGAATATACAACTGTTGAACTTGCAACACTATGTCAATTATCTGCGTACACATAAGAAATACGAAAAAGCCTTAAGTTGTCTTCAAGCGGGCCTGTTGCGCTACACTAGTGTAAAAGGAAATGTTGATACTGTTTATCATATTAATTTTCTCTTACAATTGCGCGCTACAAAAAAAGAGATGTCCATGCAGAAAGTGAGTAAGAGTCATGGCGGTTTGCGACGCGCGCTAGCATTTAATGTGTCACCCGATTTAGAAGACGCGAC